CTTTGTGGAATCAGAGCCGGGGGTGGGCAACTGGGAGCCCCAGATGCCTTTGATGTTACCTTGGCCTTATCTTTGCGCTTGTGAGCCTTGTCCCGGGCAGTGGATGAGGCCCGAGGCCTATTGCTGGAGGCCCTGGTAGCGGCCTTACCGGGCCTTGGGCTAGCCCCCCCTCGCCAGGGGAACGGGGTTCACAGATGGGCTCTACAGTACCTTTAGCTACTGATTGGTCTGCCATGGTAGGGTAAAGTATTTGAAAAAGCTCAATCACGCTCAATGAAGAGGGTCACGAATTGCGCACCACTGCCAAGTCGCCACGTGAAAGCAGAGGCTAAGGCGAAAGCAACCTCTTCCCTGAGTCAGCAACCGCAAGTGAGGGAAAAGGGAGGATTACCGGAACAGCGCAGACTCCAGCGCACGAAATAGCTTGCCACGCCTCTTCCGGCCGATTCCATCATGTGCGCAAAGTCGCTATTCAAAATGGCGACCGGCACTGAGAGCGCGAAATTTAAACCGCTAACGGCGAGGAGGGAACCAAACGGCCAGCAAGTTCGCAGCCCCGCACGGCTGCCGCTCCACTCAGAGGAAGAAAGAGCCGCATGGCAAGGCAGCATGCCTGGGAACTGACCGCGCCACATAGGCAAGTTCTACCCAGCGCGAAACGGCGCAGGGCAGCGCACCAGCCCAGAACGCGCCCAAGCAATCGAGGAACAAAGGCTTCCAAAGTCGCTTTCGGAATTGCCGGCTTAATCACCCGGCACGATGAGTCTGCAGAGCTCCCAACCCCCGATTGGAGGGAAGGCTCCAACAATGAGGAAATTAGGCTGGCAATAAACTGCCGCCTCCACCTCCGAGAGTTAAAAATCCATCGAAGGTTGAGAGTGACCGCTGAATCCAATGAAAACGATGAGAAATTTGTCAATTAGTCAAGAGAGAATTGGGAGACATCTCGTTAGGCTGGACTGAGTAAAAAAACTGACTCAGCCCAGTCAGAGGAGGCGTGGTCAAAATTTACATACTCAGTCTCTAGGCTAATGGACAAAGTTAACCCATGATTGGATTCCCCGAACAGCACACAGGAGAATAAGCCTGTTTCGCGTGGAATGACATGACTGGATCACTCTAGATCACCAACAGTTCAGAGAATTTACTTCGGGAAACTGGCCCGGAACAAGGTGGTTAGGAGGAAATTCAGCATATTTGTTTTCTGAAGGTTTTCATTTCCCATTTTCCCATTTCTAATTTTTAGAAAATAAGGTGGAAAATAAGCCTTTAAAATGTCTTTGCTGTTATCTGCTACAGGAAGCAGAAAAACCACCAGAGACTGTAAGGTCTCAAAAGTAAGCAATCATGGCATCTGATGAGATGGTTTTAATGATGCAGTAAGTAATGGAGTGTTGATTGATTTTTGAATTTCTAAATCCAGCTTGGAATAAAAGTAACTATTTGTTTAGAATGTGGGAGAACTGGATTGATTTGATTTATGTCGAAAGAAAGCTAAAGGAAGTTTATACCTCACTGTTTTATAGCCACCAATATAGAAGTAATTTCTCTGT